ACATTCCATTTTGCAAACAAAAAAATTTAATGCTAAAGTTAACGATAAAGAGAAAGTGTGAATTTTAGATGAGTTTAAAACGTAGTACTAAAGGAAGGTATTCACTAACTTTCAAATTAATTTGAAATTTAGACTGTTTATGATGACTTTAATTCAGTAATGTTTTGACCTCATTAGAAATTCGCTAGTTTTNGTATTTCCAAGGTGCCCTTCACTCAAGATTTTCTCTAGTCCCCTGTCGATTGCAATTAGTTCGCTTCGAAAGACGGAGCAGAAATCGGGGTTTCGTTGATGAAGAGTGTAGTTCTCTCGAGGTGTTTCAATAAATACCCCACTGCCAGTCTGTCTATCCATTTTACTGCCATCAGAGAATATTTTGATGTCGTTTGGAGGGATTTTATTGATGATTTCCAGGGACAATTGTCTGAGGAAGTCAGGCACACAGTCTTTCTTGTCAAGCATGGTAGGGAGGCTTTCATGGAAACTAACATTGGAAAGATCCAACAAGTACTAAGATTGCTATGAAGATAAAGAGGTTCAATATTTTCAGCGATTAACAGTTGACATATTTTACTAATACTAGGAAGTAATTAATATTAATAGATTCCATTACACTAACTTTGAAACTGGTTCTGCTTTCAATAATTTTTATTCAGCCTACTACGTTGACCTCAATAATGATTCACCAGATCTTCATTGAATTTTTGATCCATAACTTCCTGTATTTGGGCTATAAACTCTACTGACACTAAATGAGAAGTAATGCATATAGGATATTATTTCCAGAATACTAATATTTATGCGAACAAGTAGCAATTGACATTTTTTTCTCACGAAAAATTTTATCATGCATACGCCAGATAATAAAATAAAATACAAGAATGAACTGTATAGTAAAACCTCTTGGTACCTAGAGTTTAATTCGTTTTTTTATTTATTAAATGATTATATTTATTAAGAAAAATAATAAGCTTTAAAAAATTTAAATTCACTAACTTTCGAAATTAAACTTTCTTTAAACCCGTCTTCTCTTTACCCTTCGAAATTATTTTGTCAGATTTAGATAGAGTTTTTCTTATGCTTCATTTCAACTTGCTTCATTTCAACTTACGGTGTACTAATATTTATACCGATAAGCAGTATTTCCTTTTTTTTCCTCTTACAGATGTGTTTGTGCGTAAACATGCCGTTGAAAAAATATATAAAACATTAAACTGTGTATTTATAAAAAAATTTATTTTTCCTAAGTGTGTGTATATTAAGAAAAATTAAAATATGAATGAGCAGCATACGACGTTTCGACTTGGTAGTTTTCTTGCCGAAAGTATTCAATGCTAAATTTGAAGGTAATAAGAGATAGTGAATTTTGAGCTTATTAAAATAATATTACATTTTACTCACTAGCTTTAAATTAATAAAAAAAATATTTATGGTATTATTGATTTTAATGCCGTCTTTTTCGTTATGCTCGATAATAATTCGTTAGATTTGGATAAAGTTTTTTTGAACCTATTACACACAGTCTTTTTGTATACTAAGAGAGAAGGGCTGATTCACACTGAGTAAAAAAGTACCATCTAAAGTACCACAAATATGGTAAAATTTATGTATTATAGTATGTGGTAAAATTTATCGCGTTTCTGGCTCTGTGGGTAAGCAAAAAGCTCAGTAATTTTGATCAATTTTCATTTTTTAATTCGTAACGTCGCTGTACAGCCAAACCAATTTTGGGTTTACTACCAATGTTCAGCACCATAGCCTTGTTATTTTGAACCCATTCCGGATGACAAGGGAGCTCCAGGATCAAGTATCGGGAGAAATGTTGCCTTAATGGAGGATTTTTTGATGAAACTAACTAGCATTTGCGTTACAGGGAGAGGAAGACCACAAGAACCTCCCACTGTTAGCCTGACGGCAAAGGGACTCTAACCCAAGGTAATTCTACCACTGAGGATATTTCACGTCACCACTGTGGTCGGTGAAAACTGGATGCGGATTCATATCGACCAGCCATCGCTGGGATTTGAACCAGGTTCACCTCATTATAAGGCGAACGCTCAATCTCCTGAACTCCCATGGCTCTTAATAAAATATTATTTTGTTTTCATTAATACATGTCATTAGTCACTTCAGTTTTGATAGAATTTCGTAACATCTACAAAACGTGTGGTACTACAATTATGCACTTGGAATTTTTCTTAAAACTTATAAATATTTAATTCTTAAGTAGTAAAAAAATTCATTGAGTGATATAGTTAAAATTAATTATATTTTGCATAATTTTCAATATGATTCCTTGTATTTTAAATTAGTTGCACAGTAAAAGTAAGAATCGTAGTCGAGCTTTCCAGACACTTAAATTATTAACTAAAGCCACATGAAACTGATTTTAGAATCATAACTATTATGTTCTCTAATCCCATTAGTTACTCCACTATTTCGAGTGCTATCTGAACAACTACAATAATTAACAACCTAATTTATGTTTCAGATAATATGAGGTTCCTTTAGACTTCAGAAACATTAATTCTGGGACTGAAATATGGAAATTAGCAGTTAAAGTGATAATTTAAATACTTCTAACTTCTTAATAATATAGTTTAATATTTACGTAAAGTTATACTACAAATCAGATTTTATATTTATTTTTACGTAAAACTTTGGTTGTAAGAGTTCAAATTGTATTTGGTATAATGATTATAAGCGATAAGATTTGAGTTATAGTTATATGTATTTACTGGTTGCAGATTTTAAGCTCTCTTCTGGGATTTACGTAATCACCACTTTTAATATATATGTTGATAATCTTTGCCAAAAAGGAAATTGATAAAAATATATTAGAATTTTATTCGTAGCCTAAGTATAAATGAAATGTAGTTTATACCTTGCAAAATATGAAATATTATTTATACTTTTGTGTTCTTTATGCATTACAGAAGAAGGATTTAAGGGAACACAGGACATTCAAAACAAAAAAGGGCAATTTGTATTCGATCATTTTCTAATTTAACAAAACATTGTTTGCATTAATGGTATACGTAACCTGTGTACGAAGTTTTAGAAAAAAATAATAATTGGTTTTAAAGTTACAGCTTAAAGCAGCGTTTTCTAAACTGGGAGGCGCGCCTCCCTAGGGAGGCGCGGACTAGTCTAAAGGGAGCCGCGAAAATTAGTCACAGTGAACAGTTTTCCAAATTATTGCTAAAGTTTTCTATGTAAAAAATGAGAGAATAAATGAAAAAATACCATCGTGCTTTATTGCGTATAGTTCAACTAAACATTTCGTAACTTAGCATCCATATACCAAGACGTTCTAGACCTCGGCAAATTTTTTGAATCAAGGCCGTCGTTAATTTGACGACACTAGCGGCACTTGACCGACACAACTTAACAAAAGCCAGATGCGCGCGCGCTAACGCCACTGGATGCCACACATCCAGAAAAGATCGACGCACGTTTAGATCACCAGTTTCGTGTCACATCTAATATTTAATTGGTTCAGCAGTGTTAGGTTGTGTTTCTATTGCTATTGACGTGATTGCCCACTGATCATAATAGTAAGTAGTTTAATAGTTCTGGTCATAATAGTAAGTAGTTAATAGTTTAATAGTTTTTTAGAATAATGTAATATTATTCCTAATATTTCCAGACAAATAGATAAGTTTTTGATAGGATATAAGCGAAAATCCACTAATAATGAAGATTCTGATGTTGGCACAAGTAGTGGGAATACAAGCCACAAGAAACAGGAAGGAAGAACTCCCAAGATAAGGAAATACGACTAATCCTATTTATCGTTCGGATTTACTAATATTATTAACGATAATGTGTTTGTTGTGTTCAAAAGTTTTGACTGCTGATAGTATGAGACCCGGCTAATTGAAACGGCACCTTGAAACTATTCATTCTGAATACGTTGGTGAGCCCCAAGAATTTTTTCAATGAAAATTGGATGAGCTATCTAAAAACAAGTAAAATTTCAAAAAAATTGCTCATATTCCATCAAACGCATTACTAGCATCATACCTAGTGTCGTACAGAATCGCGCAATGTAAAAAACCCCACACAATAGCATAAACCTTAGTTTTGCCAGCAGCCATATGGTCAAAACAATGTTTGGCCAATCTTATGCGAATCAGTTGCGACAAATACCGCTTGCTGATAATACAATTGGCAGAAGAATTGATGATACATCCTGAAGATTGTGACCAATTAGTTTCTCGAATGCATATTTCAAAATTCGCCATACAAGTAGATGAAGCTACTGATGTAGCTAAAGACGCACATTTAATTGCATATGTTCGATATGTTGACGATACTTACATAATTGAAGATATCTTATTTTGCAAACCAATTCCTGACAGAGCCACATTCAATTAAATTTTCGAAATAATAGACAGATTTTTTAATGAGAACGACATAATGTGGAATAATTGCATTGGGCTCTGTACTGACTGTGCACAATCAATGGCGGGACACAAAACTGGTCTTCAAACACTAGTTAAAATGAAAACACCCGAGGTTCGATGGACGCACTGCATGCTCCACAGAGCAACTCTCGTATCAAAAACTATAAGCGAGGAACTTAACAATGTTTTGGAAAAGTAACGAAAGTTATAAATTACATAAAAAACAGTTCATTAAAAGCAAGGTTGTTCGCAAAACTGTGTGAAGATATGCGAGCTAATTACACGTCACTTCTGTACTATTGTGAAGTGAGCTGGCTATCTAGTGCAAAAGTGATTCAAAGGGTACTTGAACTCAAAGAAGAAATTGCTATGTTTTTCTAGAAAAATCATAATGAAGACGGCAATATGTTTAGTGGTGATAATTTTATTGTTAACCTTACATATTTGGTTGATATTTTTGAAAAATTGAGTGTTCGTAATAAATCAATGAAAGGACCGCAAATGCATTTGCTTATACAAAAAGACAAAGTGAAAGCTTTTATTAAAAAAGTGGAGCTTTGGAAATGAAATTTGCAGAAAAATAAGATTGACATGTTTCCACGTTTAAATTTATGTGCCCGAGATAACATAGAAGCAAACAAAAATCTCTTTGTGGAACACTTGAATGGTTTGTTGCTTCAATTTTCGAATTATTTTGGTGATCTTGATTTTACAAAGTTTGCGTGGATACAGAATCCATTTATCGACGAAGAAGATGATGAATTTGGATTGACAAGTATTGAAAAAGAAAAATTGATTGAATTATCTTGTGATACTACATTAAAACATAAATTTCAGACTGTATCTCTGGTTCAATTCTGGTTGAATCTTCATACAGAATATAACACTTTGTCAAACAAAGCTTTGAAAGTACTGCTGCTGCTCGCAACATCATATTTATGCAAAACGGGATTTTCTGCCTTGGCTGCAATGAAATCCAAATATCGAGCTCGTTTAGTTGTAGAAAAAGAGCTACGAGTAGCTATATCGTCACAAACACCAAGATTTGATCAACTTTGTGCTAATAGACAAGCACATCCATCTCATTAAAAACAATAATAAAATATCGTTTTCCATTAGTTTATATGAATAAATTTTATAAGAGTAAAAATGTTTGTATTTTTATTTTATGAAATCTTCAGGGGGCGTGCCAGATGATTAAATATTTTTAAGGGAGGCGTAGTAACATCAGGTTTGGAAACCACTGGTTTAAAGTATAGGTTGTAATTGTTGCCAATTAAAAGGTTCCGTACGGACAAATTTTAATTTTACTACGTTGTTTATAAGCATTTAAATTTTATTGTGTCACCAAAATTTAAGTGGTTATGGTTCCCTTATAAACTATAACATAACAAGACATTAAATTTTATTGTGTCACCAAAAATTTCAATTATGTTTTTTGAATTATTAAAAAAAATTAAATTAAAATATTTAGTCAATCAAATACATTTAGAATGAAACAAGGCACATCAAAGGGTATTTGAATTTTTTTTAAATATCATTAAAATAAAAACTGGTGCTCAAGGAGCTTTTTGAAGTTGTGAAAACTTTGAAAAATTCCATAACCAGAAAAAAGCAACTTCGTCTACGAGAACTACATATTGATATTTGGACCTTTACAAATCCATAGTCTTTTAAACTCTGTAAAAAAAGTCTCTGATTTAAACATGTTTTATTGTCTATTCACTTAGCAAAGTGTAATTTTTTTAATATCTCAAACACCAAATAATAGATTTTTGAAGGATTTTTCTCATTTTGAACGTTCAATGTTCCCTTAATAACTTAAATACCTGTTTGATTGCCTAAATATACTAAAAAGGGAAACATAGATTGTTAAAAATGCCATCAAAATGTTATGAAAAAATTTTGTTCAGCGTTTCTTTCTTTTTTTTTTCGACTTTCAGTTTTCTCATTAGTCATTCCCCAGATTTTTTTAACATCTTCGTTTCTTTTTTTTTGTTTCAATAACGAATTGAGATTCACTGTCTTTATAAAAAGAATCAACTTTACTGATAATCAGATTTCGCACATTATTTTCTCTCATTTTTGTGAAATATGTCAATAAAATACTTAAATAACAAATAACTTTCCATTAATGATATTATTATACAAATTGCGTCTAATTGATGCTTAAATTTTGAATCCGCTAATCTACAGCAATCAAGTCGAACTAGCTTAAAAGTTTGAAATCTATTAATGCTTAATTTTGCCACAAAATTCTAAGTAGACCTGTAGAACTACTTCTAGTAACATTTATAACCATCTTAAGCTAGACTACAACTATCTTAACTAACCACACAAGAAAGAAATATGGAAATTTACTTAAAACGAATTACGAACCTCTTTTGTCAAGTGGTTAAAAAACGGGAAAGAATTTAAATTTTGTCTCATTTTAATACAAACTACATTGGATGTCTCACTTAAATTATAAAACCAATAAACTTCAAACTGAATTGTAGCTCATTGCGAAAAAGATACATCCCCGTTTACGCTTTAAATTTGAATAAAAGTGTGGTTTTTAAAACCTCTTTGTTCATTATTTTTTTGCAAACTCATTTTAAAATGAAATAAAGAAACTAATGCTTTTATCACTTGATTAAAAGTTTCATTCGCTTCAAAAATATACAAATCGGAAATAACAGGAAATAAAATGTCGACTGTTATTTCCAATTTGTATATTTTTGAAGAAATGTTTAATCAAGGAATATCTTACCACTTCAGTTTCTTGAGTTTATTTATTTAATGCTTTTATCGTTAACGCTTATAATATTGAAAATATTTATCTCATTAGTAAAATTCTTTATTGACTGTTGACTACTAAGTTTATTTACAATATTAATTTCAATTATGTAACATAATTATTTTGATCTGAAAAAAAAGGAACTTCGGCAAGTCCATAATTTACACTTTTGTAACTCTTAGCTTAAAACATAACTATTTCTATAAATTATCCATAGTTTTTCTTTCAGTTTTGGTAATTTTAACGAAATCTTCATGCAATTTGCACGCACTCTTTCTGAATTATTATTAATGGATATCATGCGAGATAATTTGACGAAGGCTTACTTTAATCTTACACACCTCATTTTGTGTCAAAAGGAAGGTGTAAAAATTTCTCTGATAGCGGAAAATTTTCATTTATCAAGTTGAAGTCTATTGCGAAGTTATTTCACGACAAAAATCATTGTTTCACCGAAACGCAATGTCGGTGTCGCTAAAATAGAAATAAAGAAATAAGCGTTGCCGTTGGAAACTGTTGCTAAGGTCAGTTGTAATTAAGTGTCGAGACAAAAGTTGAGCAATTTCAGCTCCTATTTCTTTAATATTAATAGTTTAAGACAAGAGATCCCGTAGGGAATTTAAACTGATAATAAATAAAAGAGACAGATTTTTGCATATACAATTACAAATACGTTTATACAATTATATTTAATTCCATTTTAAGAAAAAAGTTCATAGGAAAATAAGGTACATTAAAAAATGGTATGGTCAAAACTAGAGAATATGATCAAATTCATCGAATTTTTGGGTCTATGGGTACATCAAAAAGCTCGGTAATTTTTACCGAAGTGCTTTGGCAATGATTTTAGATAAATTAACAGTAAAGTCTAATTTTACAAAGTGAGATAAAATTTGGTAAATATGGTAAAATTTTTTAAATTTATTATGATACCTTAGAACATGGCATAAAAACCATTTACTCGGTTCAATTTACTTTTCAGTTCCATTTTTTTACTACATGTGTGGTAATAAGAACTGTAATTTTGAAAACTGGAAATTCTGGTAAACCGTATTCATATGAACGGAAAATTACCAAACGAATGGTTTAAATACCGTATATTTTGATTTTATTAGCCACAATTATGGTTTTTTTTACCAGCAATTACGGTATTTTGATTTTACCTGAAATTTTTTCTCCGTCTGCAAGTACTTCATTTACCATTGTAAAAAGTCGAAAGTATTATCTAGAATCACGAATAAAATGTTAATTTTTAAATATGTTAATATCAAATATTAATATGATTTTATTATTGCAATTACTGTATTAGAATTGGAATATTTAAACCATATCGTAATTGAAGTTAAATAGTTACAATCGATTCAAGTATTTGTTACTTAGATAGAAGTGAAATCATAACCAGAGCAACACTATTTAATTTCTCAAGATTTTGCTAAATGTTTTAAAAACTGAATAACCACATTTATCGGCATTAGGACTGAGCTGCATATATTTGAGAGATTTTACTTCGGGTTTCTCTAGTGTTAATACTAATCTCGTTTTCCTCACCATAACAATACTGCAATTTGTAGGGAAATTTTTGAGCATGCGCAATGAAGCTCAAAGAACATTTATGTTAGAGTTAGGGAAACCGTAACGCTTTACAATAACTCTCTGTGCAATATAAAAGATCAAAAATTAATTCGGAAGTAAAACTTTTAAAAGATTAACTCAATAGTTATAACTATAATAATAATAATTTAAACTTTTAAATGATATTAGATGCTAAAATAATTTTAATTATTATATTTTACTCAAATTTAATAATTAAAAAATTTCAATAAGAAGTAAGATGAAAAAAATATTAGTTACGTAGTTATATCATTAGCAAATTGTATTCAGGAGAAATGTGTTTTGAAAGCTATGTTTATTTTTTTATTACAATTTCACAATTTATTTTTGAAAGCAGACCAAAAACTTAAGTTCGATCTTCAGAAACCAAAGGAACAAGCCAAGAGTCAATTTTTGCTGCTCAACCAGAAATGAAAAACGTGAACTGAAATTTATTTCTAATACATCCTCACAAATACGCATTCCTGATGGAAGGTAAATATATCTGTAATCTTAAATTATTTAAAACATGAAATACAGCGTTTACAAAATCCTCTATAACCCAAATATCAATTTAGTATTATATAAATCTGTATTTTCTATTTTAATTAACATTTGAATAATTTTATCAACTTTCTTCTAAAAAGTATTTTAGAAATTATTTACGACTCAAGAATATTTTTTCAGCACAAATTAGATCCAAACATTTTTTTCGTCTAACTTTATCATAATTTCAAAGTGTTTACACTGTAATTATGGTACAAAGTACTGGTACTTCCGTAAAATCTGTTCTATTACAAAATCAATTTTTACTGTAAAATATTACACCGTATTTCCTTCAATAACAATTATTTAATTAGAGTGATTCGGTGATTTTAGGGTAGTTATGACTATGAAAATTAAGGTATATCAGATTTTTCATTCCGTCACATGATCCGGAAAAAAATGGATATTCTAGTCAAAAGTACCGGCAGCTTAAGTACCGGTAATTTTATAAGTTCCTTTTTACCGGAATTTAATCCGGAATCTTTTTACAGTGAATATATTTCCTAAATGTTATAAGGTAAAAAAATTAAGGAGTAAATAATCATTGTAGGAGCAATGTCTTGAATATTTAATTTTTTTTTTATTGATAATATGCATTTCGTTCAGATATTTTACAAATTTTTAGACTTTACAAGCAGGAGTTTTTCAGCAATTCTTTTCAATTTATTTCGTTCTGGTTTTTAATATTAGTCTACGAAATATTTCTGCGCAATGCTTAGTTCGATGTTAGGGGTTATTTAGATGCATAGAGCAATCAATGTTTCATTAACATTTATTTAAAAAAAATAAGGATAAGGATTATACTACAGTAATTATTTTCATTTTTAGGTTTACTTTGTAATAAAAATTAGTTTTTTTCTCAAATCATTATTTTATAAATATTGAAAAAAATGAATAAATGTCACAAAACTATGCACTTTTCATTCTCACGTGCTGTTCTGAGTCGGCATGGTTTTTTCCCCTTTGTTTAAATTTTGGGTCGCGTGTCATAATGCATGACTTTGAAATTAGCCTTAATGCCTCCATAGAAGCCAGGCACAGCCAAAAAAAAAAATTAAAAAAGAAGTAGCAACTTATTTTAATGCAAATCAGAATGTAATTCTTTGTGACATCTTATTTTACGTTGATTACAGTTTTGTTACTGTTTTAATGACATTGCGTGTAAGGAATAAAT